AAAATGAATTGGGATGAAGGGCTTTTTCTGCATTAAGAGCCACACAGGAAAGCTGTAACCAGATAGAAGCTTATCATAAATGGAATTAGGCAAAAACATTCTGGTCAGGTCTTGGAATAAGAAAGTCTTCCATTATTAATTCAAAGCTTTTTGCCTCGGCTCACCTTGCTAGCCAGTGTGTCATTCCAGGAATTTTCTACAAGAGGCATTTATTGAGTGCTCCGGGTTCCTTACTTATGGTTTTTTATTGTTTCATTAGACATTACAATCTTCCAGTTTCGCATCTGTTTTTTGAGCACTTTTCCATTCTTCAAGAATGTCAATAATGTGGTATTATTCCTGCAAGCACGGTGCATACATGTATGTTTGCCCTATTCTGCTACAATACAGCTCCACCTAGAGGTATTGCCACCAAACAGCAGGAAAGGAAAGCTCTTTGCATAGCACTCCAACCTCTGACCCTAAAAAAACTGGAATGAGATATGGTGATGGACAGTCTCATTTAGAAAAACCCTTAAGTATCATATATTCCCTCTTCTGCAATAAAGAGCCATTTGTAGAGAGTCAAACCACAGGAACAAAGAAAGCAAGCCAGATGTTCGGCCCCCATTGCTAGTCAGAGTGAGTGCTTGTGGGGAGGAAGACTGGCCACAGTCCAGGTCCTCAATGCTGGTGTCACTGACTTAACTGCACCAGGCCAAACATGTTCTCCGTGCACATGATGCTCTGGCCAGCATCCCTGCTGGAGTCCACCCACAGCAGCAGCGTCGGAAACCCGGCAACAGCATCGATTAAAGTACCAGGCTCTGTGCCTGGATTTGGTGATGCTCCCATCCCTGAGACTTGCTACCAGTTGTGACTAACTATGAGTCACAGCCAGAAATCTCTGCTGCATGAAGTACTGACCTCTTCCAGCCCTGTTATCTCAGATCTTTCCAGTCTCCTGACTGTATGAGCAATTCATCTGTGGCCTATGCGTCCTCCCAACAGAGGCAAAGGGGATCCAGTATGACCCAGCAGCAGCAGCAGAAAGTCTGAGAGTGGTGTGAGAGAGTCATTAAAAGTTTTTCTGGAGCCAAGCTGCTGATGGATTGGATTGCCAGTCTTCAGCTGCCGGGAAGGGCAGGTTAAACTTTCACACTGGGCCAGCTGAGTTGTTCATTAAGCTCACGCTGCCTGCGGTGGCTGGTCTTGGATGTTACCATCTCAGGCCTGTTCCAGGAAGAAGAATGCTTGCCATGTTTTCTTGGCCTGGTGCCTCCCCAGAGGAGGCCATTTGGAGAATTCCTGCTGTCAAACTCTGCAATGAGTGTGGGCACAGCCTTGCCTGATTCCTTGAGGATACGTCATTGTGAAGCCTAGGAGAGTGCCTGCCAGCTGCCATTATGTTTAGGATGATCGCAGCCCATATAGGAAATCTGTCCCAGCCTTTGCCTGCCCAGTGCCCAAGAGGCAGTGGTGTGGCCAGGGCTGGCCCAAGGCATTTTGCTGCCTGCCAAGGTGGTGCCCGCCTTGGACTGGCAGATGACTCTTACATCAACACTCACAATTTGACAGCACCCCCCACTAAGTCAGAAGACGGTGAACTAGTCAGAGGGGAGGTGTGCAGCCTGAGCTGGCTCCAGGTTTTTGAGCCAGATGCCCTCCATGGGACCCTCCCTCAGCAAGTCAGGCTTCTCGCCACCACTGGCCACAGTAACTGTGGCTTCTTCTCCTCTTCCGTATCCTTGCGGCAACTTGCTGGCTTAGCAGGCAGAGCCAATGAAGACGGAAATGCCATTTTTATTCCTCTTTCTCACCACCACAGTTGCCTGGGCCAGAGCAAGCAAGTTGCAGTAATGTAGACGCAGCTAAAACTGTCTAGAGAGAATTGGAGTAATGAGCACTAGAGACCTTCCACACTACATTGCTACATTAATCGTACCAAGAGCATATACAAAATTTGCATTTCAAATTGCAGATATCAGGTATCACATGTAAATGGAATCGGGTGTGAATCCCATCATATTCCATATAGTACGGTCAGTACTGAGACCGGCTGCACTCAATGAGACTTTGTCCCAGGGGTGGAGTTGCATAGTGCGCATCTTCCTGATGTGCTGAGAACTCCAGACTGCTCCTAAGCCCACATTATTTCACAGATGCTTAGCTGCTGACTCTCATGTCAGGATACTGTTTTATTGCTGATAGTCAGGTGAGTCTAACCACAAACCTGCCAGTTATTCTAGTGGGTGTTGCAGTGGCTATTTCAAACATTTGTTCCAAAGGATGTTGTAACTGACAGCTGCTGTCTTGGAGTTGCATGTGCCTCTTCATCCAGCTTCTGGAGGTGCTATAGCATGTTTCCCGAGATTCTTCCTATTCTGTATCTCGTAGCCTAACTGGAATCCACCATTGCTCATACTTTAGGAACCAATTCAACCAAGCTAATATTTACCAAGGATACACATTAGTCATGTAATCAAATGTGACTCTCAGAATTTATTGCCCAGTGTCATAAAGTGAAGGTGCCATTTCAGGTGCTCTTGGTAGCAGGGCCCTACTGGGATCCTGCTTGCCTTTGGTGCTGGTCCTGTGTGCAGGGTGGGGAGAGCATGACACACAGCTCTGCCCCGAATACCTTCCCATGAGTCCCTGCCTACTGAAAACTGGTCTAATTCTGGAGTAGATGCTATTGGAACTCCTTCCTGTATGTAGCAATTCAGAGGAGTACCTCTGAATATATATAATAATAAAATGGAAATAGGGACATTGTCCATCTGAACAGTGCTCATTTGTTCTGTATAATATGTTATAGGCAGCACATAGTAAATTGCACCAATATTGATCCAACACCTAAAATTCATATGCAATAGTGGTGAAACCTGGCATCTTCAAGGGCTGTTTCTGCCCTTCTCCAATTATGTGGCCTAAGATGATCAAAGACTTTGGTAAAAAAAAAAAAAAAAAACCTAGATTGGAGGCATCTTGTTCCAAAACATTCCTTGGCTGCACTCTTCCAGTTCTGGAATCAATCATTTAACATAATTGATCATGATCTTATTCATCATGAAGCAAACAAACAAAAGAGAGAATTCCTTAGTAATAGAATAATCAAAATAGCCCTCAAGTGGACCAAAGGAAGGAGGTGAACTTTGGGATGAGACAGAGATCAGCTGAATCTTTTCTCTTGACAGCAGAAAAGCGAGTTCTTTCACTCTGCAGACATTTCCACCTGGGCTCTGTGTGTCTAACTTGACAGTTGGGGAAGGCCTTAAATCATGTATCGCATCTCGCTGTATGACTCTATGACCTTAACTGAAAAGAAAAGCAAGGGTTTGGACTTGTTGGTTAAAAGATTCACTGCTTGGAAAAAACATTTTAATCATTGGAAGGAAAGTGCTCCAACAAGTAATGCAGATGAAAGCCTCATGGGCTCAATTCCCTGCAACAAATCATGGCAGGAAGCATTTACAATGCTAGCTGGTGGTACGGGAGTCTTCCCAAACTTCTTTTTTCTTGCTTCTTATTTGAGGCAAGTTCATTCACGCTTGGAATTAGATATTTTTTTTCTTCCTGATGGACAAGTCCCATCCTTCGTTGTCCCTGTCCACCATGCAGTGCAAGGAAAGGCTTGTACAGAGGAGTTGACATGGTAATCTGTGCACACAATGCCAATGCAGACTTCTTCAGCCTCCTACCTGCTCCCTCTCCTTCTTCAGCCTCCTACCTGCTCCTCAGCCTTATATTCTGATGGACTCTTAAGGATACCAGAGATGGCTTGAGAAAGGGTGAGGTCCCCACAATCATGATGTCTTAAATAGGCAGCACTGTCTGTATCATGGTACCCTTGTATTATCATCACTCCTGCATGATGCTGGCGAGAACAACAGCACTTTCTGGTGAATAAATGCTTTTGAATGGAATTGCTCATTCCACTTGGAAGCAACTGAACCAATCCATTTAGTTACGCTTTTGCAGTGTGGGTTGTCAGTATTGCATTTCCATCTGAAAAGCACGATGATTATTATTTTGTTGTTTGTTTGCACTTTAGAATAAACATCAATCCTGGTAAAATTACTGTAACATGATGATGATAAAAGAGAGGGGCTTTCCTTTCAAGAAAAGGAGCAATCCATGAATAACTGTGTAATTATCTGAAGCCTTCCTATACTGTCATTTCCGCTTTATCATGTTAAGCACAAGGACTTCAGAAACAGAATATGTTAAAGTAAATGATTGCCAGCATCTTAAAAGGCTTATCCTGATCCTGTAGGCATTGCAACTGTTCAGAAGTGGGGTGGGCAAAACTGCACAAAAGGTAGGAAACCACCAAAATAACAGTGGCTGGGAGAAAAGTGGTGGGCCCAGGGGAGAGTCGACATGGTCCTCTGGGGGAACCTCAGTTGGCCATATTGGGAGACCAGGCCTGAGGGTCTGCAGCCCTGTACAAAGCCAGTTGGAACCCGCCAACTACATACTGTAGTCTGACTGCTGCTTGATCCCAACCCTCCGTTTTTGAAGGGTACCTGGCTTTTTGGCCCCTGAGGGACCACCCTGCACTGCTGGTGACCATGGGCTTATCTCATTGCGTTCCAGTAGCTGAAGCCATACAAGCTGTGGCTGATGTCACCATCACTATGGCTCACCTCCTTAGAACGTGACCAAAAGTACACAAGAAAATCTTTCCTACTGAAAAGCACGGAGGCAAGTGAAATTTAATGACCTTCTGCCCACTTTCTGTAATACTTCCTGCTCTGATTCTGATTTGGCTCCAGGAAGGAAAATCAGAGCAAAGGCTTTGCTTTCTGCCTTCACACTGGTGTGGGTGAAAAGAGGGGAGATGGCACTCAGCAGGTGTAGTGAGGGGGGAAATTACCATCACTGGTGAGTGCGGCAAACCCTGTAATGTCACTGCAAGACAGCCCTGGTCATAGCTTGCAAACCAAGCTGGGGAAGGAAGCAGGTGATTTTGTCTCAACGTTTAATAATATTCATGCTCTGCTTTTCTCTCTTGGCAGATACTCCTCCTCTTTCGGATGGCAAAAGACTAAGGAATTCTTGGTTTTGCTGTAAAAAGCACCCCAAGCACAATACCCACTGGATTAGCATGTGCCTGCAGGCATCTGAATCTCTAGGAAGAATGCAGCTGTGCTGCGAATCCATAAATGGCTCCTGCATAAAGAGCAGCTGGTCAATTAGTGTTCGAATTTCCATGTACATCTTCATGTTGTGTGTGATCCTTTTGACTGTTGCAGGCAATTTGACTGTTATCATCTCTGTAGCACATTTCAAGCAGCTCCACACCCCGACCAATTTTCTCATCCTCTCTATGGCCACCGTGGACTTTCTGCTGGGATTCTTTGTCATGCCTTATAGCATGGTGAGGTCAGTTGAGAACTGCTGGTATTTTGGGGACTTCTTCTGCAAAATCCACACCAGCGTTGATATCATGCTGAGCACCGCTTCGATCTTCCACCTCTCATTTATCTCTATTGACCGCTACTATGCAGTCTGTGATCCGCTGAGATATAAAGCAAAGATAAACACTTGTGTTGTATCAGTCATGATCTTCATAAGTTGGATTTTCCCAGCTATGTTTGGTTTCGGACTAGTATTCTTTCAGCTAAATATGTTAGGAACAGAAGATACATTCTACAAACTCATCTATTGTGTGGGTGGCTGCTTTGTCTTCTTCAATGAAACTTCAGGGGTGGTGAGCTCCATGGTTTCTTTCTACATCCCAGGATTCATCATGCTGTGTGTCTATGGGAAGATATACATCATAGCCAAGAGGCAGGCCAGTTCCATTAAAGCTGCAGTGAACCAAATGCAAATCAGATTTGAAGCACAGCATCATATTTCACACAGCAGAGAAAGAAAAGCTGCAAAGACTTTAGGGACAGTGGTAGGAGTGTTCCTCATCTGCTGGTTCCCATTCTTCTTCTGCACGGTCACCGACCCCTTTATGAATTACACAATACCACCTCTTCTCATTGATGCCATGGTTTGGTTTGGTTATTTGAATTCTACATTCAACCCAATGGTTTATGCATATTTTTACTTGTGGTTCCGAAGGGCCTTGAAGATGATTTTACTGGGGAAGGTTTTTCAGCAAGACTTATCCAGAACTCAGCTATTTTTGGAGTAAAATGCCTGGAAATGTGAGACTCGCTGTCTTGTCAGACACTGCCTTTTCAAAGAAAAAGGTGAAAGTAGAGCAGCTGCTATTGTGATGTTGCCTTTAAGAATGATCCAGGAGTGGACCACAACATTGTGTACACTGTACCTAGGTTTCTGCAAGGACCGGGGCCTGTTATGCAAAGGCACTCAAGGAGTCATTCAGCAGTTGTATGCGCTCTCTGTCTCTCCATCAGAACTAGCAAAAGGCTTTCATGCCAAGAAAGGTGCTGTGAAGCAGAGGCCGTCAATGGCGGAAAGCGTCTTTGGCGTGTGCTCAGTCCTGCCATATTGGGCTGTGGGGCAACAGAATCTTCAAGGGAAGGGCTCCCATGGCATTTGCTTTGCCAATGTTTTGGGAGTTCAGAAATCTCAAGCAGACGGCATCCAAAATTTTCTTGTGGGGAACTGGTGGGCTGCAAGGGGATGCAAAAAAGACAAGCCAGAATTTACATTCCCAAGCATATGTGCAACGTGGGTGATCTGAGCATCGAGCTCCAGGATCCCTTGTGAATTGACAGGGGATACTGGGAAATTTCCCACAGAATGTGCATTGCCTACTTAATCAGCTGTCTGGAAGAACCTAAGAACCCTCTGAATATGTTGCAAATCTTTGCGATCGTAAAAAATTGAGTATGTTGACCTTGAATGGATTTTAAAACCTTTGCCATACTATTCCAAAGGAATAGTAATTACATTACATTGATTTTAGGATACAAAATTGGATTGGAAATATTTAAAATAATTCTATTCCTTAAACTGGAGCACAGACATCATGAAAGGGAAGTTATATAGTCCACTTAAGTCACTAGAAACTTATGCTAAAAAATGGTTTCACTATCAAATTTTCTCCCAATTTGTCTGGAAAGTAGATATTTATTACAACTCAGACTGTGTCTCAGTTTAGCAATGCCTATCAAACTGCATGTGTTGGGGTTCTTTCTCTGTGTGCTTGTGAATCCCAATTTAATCAGTTTAAAGTTACAATGCAGACATGTTTTAAAAGTTTGATGTTACATCGTATTGAAAATGAGCAAAGGAAGTGACTTACTGAAAAAGGAAAATCAACAGAGAAGGAGCTGTCAGCTGGATTTTAGACATTCCTTCTGTCAGGTTTATATGCTGTCATTCAATAGATGAAAATTGTCTTGCTCTGTACAACTAACCTGTGGAGTCACCATAACTGGCTAGTGTGCATAATTAAACAGATGAGAATAAACTGCATTTGTTGATCAAAGTAATGTTCCTGCTTTTTAAAATGTACTTGAGTATGCTGAAATGAAAACGTGTTACCAGATCAAACCTATCACAAAATCTCCCTTCCCTGAGGAACGCAAGTCATGCTTTACAGCACCAGTTTCCTTTGGGAAAACAGCTGAAGAGGTATCTGTCTTGATAATAACTTGTTCACTGTCAATTGCATAGATTGTGCAGGCATGAGGAAGAGGAGGAGGAGGAGGAGGAGGAGGAGGAGGAGAACCACCACCACCACAGGCTATCAGCATTCCTGGAACTACAGTTCCTCTTTCAGCTTCAGGGCTGAATTACATTTCACATTCCAGTGGCAGACAAGGCCAAGAGTAAAAGGACTGGGGCACAGAAACCAAAAAAGCAGCGTGTAAGTTAGCTTAAAGCTCTTACTGCCAGTAGGCATAGAGGCATTTCAGCCCTTCAGAGCAGGAAAAACCAGCACAAAAGGCAGGAAACCACCAACGTCTGGTGGTTGGGGGAAAGACGGTCAGCCAGGAGGATGGGGTGGGTTCTTGGAACAGCCAGATTTGGCTGTCTAGTTTGACTCTGAGAAAATATCAGACCCTAGAATCCCCATCGTTGCTCCTCCTTGCTAGTGTGCACAAGATGAACATGTCATAGGATATAGTGTGCAATAACATTTTGATAAGCGTGTATACGATACAGTTAAACATGCACCTCTGTATCGCATTTGGCCTTGTAAAGTGTAGCAACACTGATCCATGTCTTGATTGAATCACCGTGTACATTTCCTCTTCCCCTGCTCCGTATCATTGGCTGCCATGATACCATTGGCAAAACATGATGATGTCACGGTATGGATCACCACAACTTATGGAAATGGAGTGAGGAGAGCATTTTCAGTCCTTTCCATATGCTGACATTCCCACATTGTGCATAGTTTTGCTCATTCTTTCAAAACCTAAACAGATTTTAGTCCCAGTCTTGGTGGGTGTGCAAGGCTAGAACAGTCCTGGAAGGGGGTTTGCCAGAAGTAGTTTGGGCTGACTTTTTAATTTTAATTTTACTAGGAGAAAAGCAGCTTTATCCAGTGAGCTATCCTGTTCTCAGTATCAACCAGAAGCACCTGTAGGCAAACTGCAGGGCTCTTCGGGTGTTTTGGAAATGATGTTATCCAGTTGGCACTGGCATGCTTCCTAGGGGCCTCCTATCCCTTTAGAGCAGGCATGGGCAACGTATGGCCACGGCCAGCATGTGGCTCCCCAGCCTCTTCTGCACTCTCCACCCAAGTGCTAACAATTCATATTTGCGGAGCAGCAGCATTTTCCCTTTAAATCAATATTTGCCCCATTGTCCTTTTAATACTGTGAACCATCTATTGCTAGTTTTACTACAATTCAAGACCCTCTTTAAGAGCTGTATTAAAGGTATTTTTCCCTCCCAATACCACACTAAAACACCATTTAAGTGTGTGGCCAAACCCAGAATAAAATGCATTCTCTTGTGTCTGATTAGACCACATTTGCAGTTTCTCATGGAGCCTTATTTCCTTTTGTTTTCATCATTTCTTGCCCCATAAGGGAGAGTTACATTTTGCAAAGTTCCCGAAGTATTTGCCTTCATTAGCACCTAAGCAGCTCTGCTGTGGAGTTGTTGATATTTATGGCAAAGAATACAACAGAGATGTTTTAATGAGGTCTCCTGGTTTCTATTTAAACCCAATCATACAGCAAAAGAGGGAAATGTTTTGTGCTTTTCTTTGATCTCATTATGAGTTAAGGTTATCCTATGGGAATGCAAATTAATACACCTTCAAAGTATCATTTCCCCTCTTAGGTCTTATGACATTGGCTATCAACACATTTAATTGCTACCCTCATCATGGAATCCCCAGAAGACTTCTTGGTTCTCCTTCTGTTTTTAAGTAGTTCTCCCATGGATAACACCATATGGTTAACTTTCCTGAAAACTTGTACATATGGATGGTATGAAAGCATTTGCTTAATTAATTGCTAGTGGTGAACTAGGTTGTTTAAGATGCAATTGTGGCTCTTCACAACCATCCCTCAAATCCCTGAGTATAATTCCTCTTCTAGTCCTAACTCTTTCATCTGATCTTCCTGCTGTTGTTATTCTGCTTTTCTTCCTTGGCCTTTTCTAACTTTCACTGTTTCTCTGTTTCATCTCTCACAGTCAAACTAGACACAACATTGAACATGTGATTTACAGCCATATGAGATGAAAATAATAACAGAGAGTAGAATTTTGAAAAGACTTCACATGGAAACAAAGAGTTGAACCTTTTCCTCCCCTGCTGTGGCCATAACTGAGGAATCACCACCCATCACCACATGTATTAACTCTAAAAGAAAAGATCCCATTGGTTTTGCTTTCCCGTTCCCCACTTCTGACCCAATTCACCTCTCTATTTCTTCTCTTGTGCTCCTCCGGTTTCCACAAAGACAGAGGCACTATTTTCTCCCAATGAAAAATAATGGGAAAGAGCACAATTAAGCTTCAAGCTCACATGATCTCCCCTCTCCTCCTCCAGTGCTTCCATGAAGACAAACTGAGACACCGTTTCCTTTTTTTTTAAACTAAGCATGGGTTAGGGTAATCTACAAACCCAGACAAAAAGTAGTTAGGCAGAGTTCCACGTTTCATTCTTTTGTTTCTTTTAAAACAAAGGAGAGGGGGGCCCTGCTCTGTGTCTGAGCAGAAGAAGTTAGACAACAGCTGCTGCTGAACCTTTTCCTCCTTGTCATTTATCCTTCTTTGCAGCTGAAGCTGCAATTGCATAAATATATTTCACATCCAGAAGTAGATATAGTAAATATCCTACTGACACAGAGGGTAATGGACCTTTGGGGGATGGTTATCAATAGTGGAGGAATTTCCACTCCCTTCTTCCTTGTTCCCTAAACTTCAGGTGGATATTTGCATTTTTTAAACATGCATTTGAATTGCCTATTCACAATTAATTTAAAATCACATGATCTAGTTTGGCCTTCAGAGTATTCAAGCTTCCCATGATGTAGTTTGCATGACCATCCACTGAATTATTTCCAGTTTTAAAAAATTCATATGGTGATCTAAAGGTGCCAGCTTTTATTAGGCCTAATAGGTGCCGTAATGTTTACAGAAAGCATGTGTAAACTTGGGAAGGTGCAACCATTCCTGAAAATATGGCCTCATACTCACTTGTACCCATTAAAAAAAAATTCTAAGCTGTTTCATTTCTTATAATTCCCCAGCGGGGTCTGACTGCTCTCTCATAAAAACACAGCAGCAGTGTTACCCAGTTTCTTTTAGAAGAGGGGGTTGGAAAGATTGGATCTTAAGAGCATTGGTGTATCACTGGCTTTATGTAAATAGCCATCAGGTAGGAGAAGAAAGCCATGTGTAATGGCAATGCATAAAATGTTATTTTAGCTTTGGAGGAAAAAAATCTGCAATGGATTTCAGTGAAGCTTTTGCTGAATGAGAGGCCCTTGATTTCTGCTCAGTCTTCAATTTGTTAAAAAGAGGTTTAGACAGGAAAAATTGACAATAACACCCTGTGTTGAGAATGACACCTTCAGTATTGATTTTATTTGACAGTGAATTCTGTACCTGCAAAATTGTGGAAGTAGAATTTGGTTGGGATATGAAAATTGTCTTCTTTTTCTCCCTTGTTCAGTTCAAACAAGTGTTGAGTTTCTGATGAGATGATGGTGATGGAACTAATCTTCACTAACTTCCAGGTGCATCAGCCTAGACCAAGACAAGTATATGCATGTACCACAACAGGCTGAATTCAGCCTAGATTTGTTTTTTCCTGTACTGCAAAGTACCTCAAATGTTGCTGATAACCACACCAAAGGAGAATTGTGGGTAAATTCCATTTGTGGCAGCATACGCATCCGACCAGTTTGGCAAGAGCTGAAGAAGTTCAAGGTTCGTATGGGATGGATCGCTCCTGCAGCGACCTACCATGGACTGAGATGGCCATGCAATGGGATGGGATGAACGGGTGCACAAATAAATGTGGGTATTTCATCAAATTTCCATCGAAATTGAATGATATCTTAGTTCATACTAAATGTTCATAACTGAGATATTTATCCTGCTAATGCACCTTCTTCAGATCAGTACTTGATGCCCAACCACAATATTGATGGACTGCTTCGTCCAACCATAGTCTTCCTAGACTCTCTGCTCATCCTCAGGGGCCATTCCCCAAATGTCACCACCAAAGGAGGCTTGACTGGAAGCAACAAGAAGGAGGGGCTTCTCTGTTGTAGCCCCCAGTTTATGGAACAATCCCCCCACCAAAGCCCACTTGGCACCAACTTTAGTATGTTTTTGCCACAAGATTGAGCCTGCTCTCTGTGCCAAGGCATTTCCAACTCCAAACATCACAGCAGAAATGGGTATTGTCAGTTGTCTTTAGCAAGCCTAGCAGGATGGACTTGTCTTAGCCACTTATCTAGTTAAAATTTGGCTTAAAATCTCTAGTGAATTTTTATTATGCTTTCACTGTTATTTATATTTCACACTGTATTTTATTAACTGTATCAGCTACAATATTTTACATTGCATTTTATTGTATTTTATTAACTGTACATTGCCCAGAGAGCTCTGGCTATTAGGTGGTATAGAAATAAAACCATCACCATCATTATTATTATTTTTTTATTATTATTATTATAACATTTCTATGCCGCCCCTTGCCGAAACCTCGGGGCGGCTTACAACATGATAAAATACATTGAAATACAATAGTACATAATAAATTACCATTAAATACAAAAATACAAAGAATACATTGACTTACAAATATAAAATTAAAATTATCAGTATAAAATAAAAATATAGGAGGAGAAAGAGAAGGAAGAAGAAGTTGCCCTGGCCAGATCATATGTTTTAACAATTGAAATGATGTTTAAATAAAAAGGTCTTTACATTATGTTGCATTTATAACTCAAAGCGGCTTACAAGGTTTTCCTCCTGTCCATTTTATCCTCACAACAACAGCCCCAGGGAGTAGGTTAGGCTGAGAGTCTGCAGCTCACCCAAAGACACCCAGGGAGTACCATGGCTAAATGGGGACTAGAACCTGGATCTTCCAGTCCAACACTCTTAACCACTATTCCACGCTAACTCTCCATATATTTAATGCATATAATATATACAGTCATTGCAATGAAGTCAAATGAATCCTATGCAGGAAAATTCATTTTCTTTCCAAATGATCAATATTAGGTTTTATCCGATCATGGCTGTGCCTTAGTGGAAAGCACTATTTTCACATCTCTCTTATCCAGCTATGCCCCTTATCTCACCCCAAAAACTACTCCTGTGTATTGGGGACCTTCCAAACAGAATCGAATCTGGAAGGAAGGCGGCAGCAGGCAATGGGAAAAATGGGGTGTCCTGACCTGCATGGGCAGAAGTGCTTGTCACTTAGGCAAGGCCACAGCTGGATAAGACCCGTTACAAATGCAAGACTAAGATACGCGATAATTAGGACAACACACACACACACACAACCCAAAATGTCTTTCTCTGTTCATGTTGGTTGATTAACTGAGCAGAAGCAACTATACTGCAGACTCTGGTTCTTTCTCACCGATACTGTGCTGTGAATTAGCTCAATTTATTAAGTTTAACTGTAAACCACTACAAACAGAACAGAAAATTTACACCTTTTCATTATTAGCTCTAGTGCAGACCCTATTCATTCAAAGTTGTCATCCTACATTAGCATAGCTCTTCTAACAGCTCTTTGATCAGGAATGTATAGATATTTGGCAGCTGGATTTACAGAATGATCCACAAATCAGTTAAAGTGGTTTACTGAAGAGGATTCAACCAATTATATTTAATAGGATTTAAGACTCTATCCCATTAGTTGCTGCTGTCTAGGCCAGGAATTATTTCCTTTTGTAGAGAACTCAAGGTTGGGTAAAATGGCCACTTTATCTCTGGTTCTGGAACTGTGATTCAAACAGGCTCAGGGGCCCAAAACAGTTGAAGGAAGCCAGGTTGGGGAAGGCCATCACAGAAGAGCGACACACACAATTGTACCTCACACTTGTTTGGGACAGGGAAACAAGCGTTACTGGCAGAACGAACAGCACGCCGGGCCCTGTCCTTCTGACAAAAGGGGAGGTGCGGCCCTCCTGACATGAAGCTACCCCTGCGTGAGGATGACTTGGAGAACGGCAACAAAGCAGAAGGTCTTCTCAGTGGTGGCTCCTCAACCATGGAAAGAACTGCCTAGCAAGGCTTCTTCCATAAGAGAGCTCCTCTTGTTTTTCCTCTTTCGTTGTTCTCTTCTATTTCTTTTCATTGGCCACTGTAACAGGTTTTGTGCTTCTGTTTTTGTCTGTAAGTCACAGCAACTGAACATTCCGGATTCTGAAACTATTTCAGTCACCTTTTGCATCTTGCCTGTCCTTAGCAATTGTGGATGTTTCTTTTGTTATTCATCTAGGATTTTTATTTCTTTTTGCTGCAGGATTTTTTTTTTATGGCAGGGGGTGCATTCTTCCCGAATAATGTTCCTGGTTTTAGTCCATGTTGGCAGCATACTAGAGGTCTTGAAACAGCTCATGGAACATTGTATGGAAATATGTATATATGTGTATCTGTTCTGCTTCTATCTTTGTAGCTAACCTGTTTTTATATTCTCCACAATATTGTGTTTTTAAGGTTTCTAAGCCTTGTAGATCACCCAAACAGCTTTGGCAGTTAGGTGGTGTGAAAACAGAATAAATTAAATGACTAATGTATTTGTAGAAAGAACAGTATCAAGTATACTAAGAATGTCTTCTATGCACTTTAATGTTTACATTTCAAATTTTATTGCATGGTTTTGCTTCTGTGTTTTCTTAATATAAGATGTAATGATATTTTTACTGCACATCCCCCAGGAGGCTGAGAGTGCAATTTACAGATAAAATAAATATACAAACTAATTAAACAGAGGAGTTTTTCCCGCTCCCATGAACAATCCTATAGCAAAACTCAGAGGCTTCCACACCACTTGCTCTGCTTTTCTGCCCATTTAGCTGGAACATTTTTGAGAGAGGGGCAAGGAGGAAGGAAAAGTCTACCCTTTTCAGCCTCTTCTGCCCCTTTGCCCCAAACTCCCTTTTATCTCTCTTTGGGATTGCAGTCTTTCATCAGCAGCGGCAACGAGGGGCTGGAAGGGGGCAACCTCTGAATTTCCATTTCCATAGTCAGAACTCTGCTCGGACTTTGGATCTGAAAATTCGAGATATTGCCAGGGGCCATAGAATTGTTCCTTAAATTACCAGTGGATCACCATCTATGGATTGGGTTGGTATTTTTTCGTCTGCCAAAGGAAAATGATTCCTGGCATATTAATAGCTAGAAGTTACTAGTGTTTTTCAGATAACAGAATTTCTTGCTAAGCTTGTAGGATATTTCCTGAGAAATACCCATGTAGGCTTCTAACACACCAGTTTCAGCACACACTAGTTTCTGAATCTAATACTAAATATTCTTATTTTTAGATTTCCAGATGGTCTTTCTTAACACTTCCAAGGATGCCATTGATTGCTCAGAGTTTGGAAATGGATCTTATTCTGAAAATCTTAGGTCACTGAGTGTCCGAGGAGCCATGTATGTATCCATGAGTGGAGTCATCATCATCACAGTTCTGGGGAATTTAGCAAGCATAATTTCAGTTTCCTGTTTCAAGCAACTGCACTCCCCAACTAACTTTCTCATCCTCTCCATGGCAGTCACTGACTTCTTGCTTGGCTTCTTCATTATGCCCTTTAGTATGGTCAGATCGGTAGAAAACTGTTGGTGTTTTGGGAAGACTTTCTGCAAAATCCACTACAGCTTTGACCTGATGCTCTGCTTAGTTTCTATTTTCCACCTTTGCTGCATTGCTGTTGATCGTTTCTGTGCCATCTGTTATCTGTGCCATCTGTTATCACTATTCATGCAAAATTACTTTCTCTGTAATTTGGCAGTTGATCGTCATGTGCTGGTCAGTGCCAGCTTCTTTTGCTTTTGGGGTGATTTTCTCTGTAGCTTATGCTTCTGGCATTGAAGGTTATGAGGTTTTAGTGGTGTGTTCCAGTCATGTTTAATAAATTTCTTATCCAGTCATGTTTAATAAATTGTGGGGAATTATTCTGTCTTTATTTGGCTTCTTCATTCCTGGTGCTTTGATGATTGGAGTTTATGTACAAATCTTTGATGTGTCCAGAAAGCATCTGAGATCCAACTTGTCCAGAAATACAGGTGATGAAAATCCTCACCAGCTTTCCAGGAGGAAAGACAGGAAGGCTGCAAAGACCTTGAGTATTGTGATGGGGGGTTTTCTTTTCTGTTGGTTTCCATGTTTTGTCACATTTTTAATTGACCCTTTTATTGGTTTTTCAATTCCTGCTGTGTTATTTGATGCTTTAACTTGGTTTGGCTACCTCAACTCCAGCTGTAACCCATTAATATATGGCTTTTTTTACCCATGATTTCAAAAAGCACTTAGATGTATCCTCTTAGGAAAGATATTCTACCCACATTTCTAATCTGTTCCGAGAAAATCAATAAACTAAATCATTTATCAACCCAAGGCGTTCCATAGTTTTTCTGGCATGAGTGGCATTTTTTCTGTGCTTTAGGCTTCAACATAAAGCTGAGGCACAAATCCATTTTGACCACCACCTGTTCTGTCTTCTTCTTGGTTTTCTTCTGAACCTTCTGCAAAAGCACCATTTTTGCTACTTCAGAACACCCAACCTGTGCAGGTGTTCAAGTGCAGCACCAATCCTGGAAGCCACACTGCCATTGTTTGCTTGTTTGTTTGAATGATTCACTTTTGCACGGTCAAAAAGTTCTTTAGCTAAATAACTGCTGTGATTGCAGATTCACTTCCACCAACACTGGTTAAAGTGCTTCATTAACTGCTGACTCTAATAAATAACTAATTTACTATCAACATGTTTCTACAATATGCTTTTTGGGTAATTATTTATTTAAAGCATTTTTAAAACCCTGCACTTTAGCCCAAACGGCTCCCTGACTTTCACACATCAGAAATAATACGATCCCTGCTCATGAAGGGAAGAGGAAATAAGCATTCTCAGATGCTAGAGTTTTAGTGAGGAAGTCCAGAAAGTGATGGAGTGGATCAAAGCCCACAGGAAGGGCTGCTGCCTCCTCTCTCCCTGAGGAGTTCAGCACCAGGACAGCAGACTGGACAAGCCCCAGGGATGCCTCTTCTTCACACTTTTTGAGCACCATTTCATTCCCATGACTGCATCAGTTTGAAACATTAAAAATCACTTGCACTTTTATATGCATGCACATTTTCTATTAATATAGCAAAACAATGTGCAAGCAGTTTCCCCTAATATATGCTTTTCGGTATGCCATTTGAAATTAACATATACATCTTCGCCTTCTTGAATGCATTTTGGTATATGTTTCATAATTGGAAAATTGCATGGTAATATTTGGAGAGTGGGAAAAATAGAAGGATAATTGTGTTCCGAGTTGTGCCTTTGTCTGGGAGCTGTGGATGAGATCTCTTTGTATAAACATGAGAATGACCACATTTCTCATCCATGCCTGGAGTACACGCAGGTCATTTGGTTCTCTCACTATGGTGCAAGATATTGTATTTCCATTTAAATTGCTGTAATCATTTCTACATTTGAATGAATACCTAACAAACAGGGGTGCATAACCCCAAATCTGCCCCTTGGGTAGGTTCCAACCTGGCCCTTTTGGAGTCTACAAAGTCCTATCCATACCCTCTTTTCCTCAACCACTGATTAGTGCTGTTAAGCATTCTCCTGATTCTAAAAGACTGAAATCCTTCTCCTAAGAGTTGCTTACTAGTGGGTAGAGGATTAATCTTTTTTAGGACTCATGCCTTTTGTCTTTGGCTTAGCCACCACATGGATACAGCCTGCAAGGGTTTCTCCAACTTAGCCCTCAGAATGAAATAGCTTCAGCATTCATGCTCTGCATTAACACTAGGTGTGTGTGTGGAATCCTCTCTGGGAGTGGGAATCCATCAGATTCCCTTGGCTCCATTCCTCCGGCTCCAACCCACTTTCTCTTGCCCATGAGTCCCACTTGGTGCCAAGCACACTGAGTGTTTGTGCGGGCACCTGCCTAGAATCGAGCCCCGTGTGGATGCTCTGCAGGCAGTGTTCCTTGCCCATGCATGGGACTGGCAGCCTTTGTGCTGCATGTACTGTGGAAGCAGGTTGCTGGCTGTGCAGCTGGCGTTCTGCAAGCATTCATGGACTCCCTCTTGGCTCAGCTTGCTTCCTAAGCCAGGGCTAAGCATGAGAAGAAGTCTGGTGAGCAGAAGAGAGTTGGATCATTGGAACCCTAATTAAAATGTTATGTTAAGCAGGTCTGTGTTCAGTTTGTGGTGATGTGTAAAGAGCTTAAAGAAGTCACTGCCTGAGAGGCCTTCAGTCCTGAAGATGTCACTGACCACTATATCTGGGATGAAACATCCGATGCACATAATGAAAAATGTTTCAACACACACACTATATTTTCTAATGCAGCATCCAACAGGCTGTATGCAAACTGCATAAATAAACCATCAAGTGAAATGAAAATATAAACAGCAGCTGGTAAGTAAGGAGTCAGAGCATTTCATGACATATTACTACAGTCTCTCCTCATTCCATATGCACAGTTTTGATCATTATAATGATGATGATGAAGATGATGATGATAAACAGTGTTGTTATCCAAATCAGCCAATGACAATGCCAGCCTATCCCTGTCTATCTGGATGTAAGTTACATTGGATTTGATGGAATCGGGGAAAGCAAACTTGAACCTAGATTCCCCTGTGTGTAGCCTGCTGGAACAGGTGCTGATGGTGAAAGTTGAGGCAGGAGGTCTTTATCGGGGCTGGTGAAAAGGCCCTAACCCCCTCTCTCTGAGCAGGAATGACCCTGCTTTCCATCTCATTTCCCTCAGCTCAGTTTGCTGGTCTGCCGGCTGCTACAAACCCTATCTTGTAAATGCAACATGTGAAGAGGCAGGGGAACAGAAAGCTGCAGCCAAGAAAATAAAGATACTTGGATTATTCCAAGAAGACTGAGGAGAACAAGCAAAGAATTTAAAGAATGGATAGTGAAAGATGGCACTACAAGTTCAAAATTCAGATGCTCTACTATTAATTTTTCAGATAATATGATGGCTTCAGGAAGGGATGGATGCATCTGAGAAGTAGAATGCAAAATAAAAACCTCAAGGACGGCGATGCTGTCCTATCTGCCTTTTTTTAAGAGTCAGAATTTAGAGACTCCCAGTGTTGCTGCTGCAGAAGTTGGCAGTAAGTTCCATATTGTCACACCGGCAGCGTTAACCTAATTACAGGCAGTGGGGGAACCTCACATTAACAATATTTCAGGTCCTTGCTGTTGCCAAGAAAATGCACTGTGGAAGAACTAAGGCAGGAAGTTCAATATAACTGGAAATATGCTTGAACCCAAATCAGCTAAAAATGTTGTGCAGGCACTATATGGCCTTTACAACCAAAAGGCGGGTCAGCCACAATCAGGGCAAGCACAAAATATTTCCTGTGCTTGTGCAGAATTTTGATGCTGACCTTAGCATCCAGAAAAAACAGCTCAACTTTTAGGAGAGAGCTGCTGGTGACAGCTAGCCTTCTCATGAGGTCAAACAACGTTGTGTTATCCATTGAAAAAGCAGTTGTTTTTCGAGCAGATGTGCTGCTGTAATTGATGGAGTGAAAAGACAGCATTCCAGGTACTGGATGCAAACAAGAATTTTCCTGTGAAGGCCACCTGTTATTGCCATGTGTACCACAATTCCACCATGAATGTCTATTTACAGATCTGCTACAATGGGGAGACTCATGTATGTAAAGCTATGCTGCGCTCTCCTGATGGACGCTTCAAACTGAGAAGCTGAAGGAGGAGATGGCATGAACTTCTGTAGCCTTTTGGCCATGGAAGTAAAAGGAGGTCTCTCTTCCCTGCTGTCAAAGGGCTACATCCCCCATACCTGCCTTTACCTTCTTTCCCAGGGAAGGCCACCAACGCCATAGGAAAATTTTTAGTGATCAAGAGGGTGAGATGACAACTAATGGCCACTTTAACTTCCCAGTCTCTATTTTGTTCGCCATTTCATGGAAAAGCTTCCATTATTCTGTTATTTGGGTTGGGGGGAAATAATGCATCCACAATTGCACACTTTGGTAAGCAACTTGAGCGAGAAACTAATTAGTCATAGGGGCTACCAATTTTTTGAGCAAAATTGTTCTTAGAAAAGCTACCTAATTCCCTATGTGGACCTTTCAAAACTGATGGGATAAAAATGTACAATTGGCAATTATGTATCTTAAGAAATGTTTGAGAATGCACACTTACAGGACTTCACAGCCTTTAACCTTGACATAGAGTGTGAAAAGCTAGGCTTTATATGCCTCTAAATTTGCTGAGATTCTGGACACTATCTTTTTATCCAAAGATCATGTTGATGAGTTCAAACTAATTCAAAAAGTTCCTGCCAAAGCTGAGAAAAATTGATCACCTTCTAGACCAGAAAGACGAAGTCTTGCCCAGGTTATTAGTGCTGTGACACAGTATGTAGATAAGTAAAGCATATATGGAAAGAGTATTTTCTCAAATGGAAAACATATGGACAGATAAAAGAAACACATGTTAGCTCTCCTAACTAAAGCAGAGCTTTGTGTTAAATCCAGTTATGACTTGATTATGAATTGAACTGTGTCCTAAAGCAGCAGCAACAGGGCATGCATTTCAAAGTCCAAGTATTGTGTGTGTGCATATTTCTGTGATTACAAATTCTGTTTGTCCATTAGTATAAAAATACTTCAGCATAATTTTCTTGTGTATTTAACTGAATACACAAAACCCTCTGTTTCTCTCACTCTCGCACATGCACACACACAATTGTACAACTGATGCAAAGGTCTGTGACATCACAAAGCTTTTGCCTGCCACATCGTGAATGACCACACCTGACCTCAGGTTTTGACCACAAAGTCTCAGGGCCAGAGACATAGCTGGCCTCACAACCTTATTTGAAGCCCTTTCCAGATGTTATCAGTATACATGCGATGAGTGAGCTGGTGTGCACAGAATAAAGACGGTGGACTCTGTCTCCAGTCTATGTACATTCATCGTATGATATGCATGTATGTAGACTGAAGCATATTCAGATTAGCTGCGTTATTGCAGAATATTAAGATTAGCTACGTTATTGTCTTCTAACTAGAGAACAGTCCTAACAGACTCTCTAGTACAAGCTTCCCTCCTCGTGTTCCAGTCCTTCTCCTTTGTCTTTCACTTGGGCGTATACTATAAAAGCCATGGTTTATCACAACCTCTACTGAAGATTGCATTTCCCTAAACTTACAGCTGCTCCATACAACACAAGGGTGATTAATAAGCTCTGTTAACAGCCCCCACTCCCATCATGTGCATCAGTCACTCACTTCCTTCTTTCCCTAAGTACTCTTGCTGGGTGCAAGTCACTGGAACATTGGAACCCAGTGCAGATGGCTGTCTGGGCGAGTTAAAAAG